CGCCATGTACGACGGCAGGGCCGGATGCCCGATGTAGGAGGCGTACGAGTCGCGCACGATGTTGTTGGTCCATTCGTGACGCGTCGTGTCGGCGTGGCCCGTGCCGATGTATTTCTGTTGCAGGTGCTCCAGCTGTTGCAGCGTGCGTAGTTTGTCGGCCATTTTCGGGCGAAGGAAGGAAGGAGAGTAGTTGGGGTTGTTGGTATACGTGAGGGTTGGGTGGAGGGTGGGTTTAGATGTCGAAGGCCGGCAGCGCAGGGGGGAGGCTGGGGAGCACGGCGATAGATGCAGTTGAGGTTGCGCTGGGGTCGAGAGACGGCGTTCACGCAGTCAGAAAGCTGGCTCCAGTCGTGAAGAAAGGTGTGTTGGTTGTGGTTGTGTGAGCTTCCTGCATACGTAGTAACTAACTAACATACTCCGTAGTTAGACGGGATCGAAAAGCTAAACCTGTGGCTTGATTAGTAAAGTTAATCGCTGCTGGTAGCGGTTGTGGCCGGTGGGGATGCCAGAGACCTGGCAGATAACGGCTGCTTCTAAGCAACTTAATCAATTTGGTGATTCAAGCGTATCGCTAACTAACTTCTCTCACACCCTCTCGAGTACTACGTTATATTCATGAGCAATACACATTTATTGAACTGCATCATAGAGCATCTCGAAGACAAGTCGTTGTGACTATGAAGGCAGAGCGCCCGACATACGACATACATACAATAAAAGGCCGTACCACGTACCACGCAGCGAAATCTGCCCCGAAATTGCACTTCGAAAATTGACCAATTAAATGCAGACGAAATAACAGGAATCAATGGTAGAAATAACTGGCCGATAAGGCACTCTCCCAGCTTGATAACACCCTATTCTCCCACCGCCTGCGACATCAAATTCACAGTTTCCCTGCGACGACCATCCTCCGGATGGATTCGATCGACTTTTCAACCGACATCTTCCCTCGCTTCTTATGCTGCTCGGTCAGTCCCTTCTCGATATCGCTGCCCGCCTCGATGTCCGGATGCGGCCACTCGAAGAAATAGGTCATCTGCAGCTCCTCATCCGTCATGGCAGGACCGTCAGAGAGCATGTTGGTGATGACGCATCCACTCGGTTCATGGAAATCGACCTGACACCCATATCAGTCAGCGTGGGTGATGATCATGTACTCGACAGGAGATTCCCACCTTGACTGGTTTGTATAATCGGCAGGTCTCCTGCTGGGTCTTGCCCGGCCGTCCCTCCATCGGCTTGAGTGTGGTCTCTCGCACGACCACGTTGTCATGCTCTTCGATCACTTTGCAGTCTGAGAAGACGGGGACGAAGTCGTGTGCCCGTCGCACCTTGCCTTCCATTCCCGCCCACATTTGTTCCCGGGTGAGCACAGGCGTGACTCCTGCCGGGTTGACAGCCTGTGTGTATGCAACGTTAATGGTAACCATGGTTGAGCGGGTTGGGTAGGACTGATTCAAACGGGTCTGAAAAGAGAGTAGAATGGTGATGCAGATACAAATGCCAGAATTGAAGGTGGTTGCAGCATCTATTTATCGGTATGGATCTTGAGGCGGAGAGCAGTCGTGCTCATCTATTCAGCTGTCCACCATGCTGCGGCATGGGTACGAGATTGACTCGCTATTGTGGGTAGCTACTTGGTGATGCCATCAATACGAGCATAGATCAAGTCATTCACGACCTTGGGCTGGAAGGCGTTCCGCGGGCATCTTGACGCTGGCGACATGATTGGCCACCAGCGGGCTATTCGCGGAATGGCTCTCGGAGTGTCCTTGGGTGATGAGGTAGTGAGCTGGACCGGCTGGATGCCGTTTATCAGGTGGTAGATATCTATATGGCCATCAGCCAGGAGGATGGCGTTCAGCCGTTTCCTGCATGGTACTATTGAAAAACAGTCCGAGACTGTTAGATGTCACGGTCCGGGTGTGGATGCAGCCCAGCCATCATGCATGACGCTACGGAGTCTTGGGGGGCTATGATATGCTTGTGCTCAGGCGAGCCAATGGAAACGTCATGATGGATTCTCTGGATGTGAGGTCTGGTGATTGAGGGAGATGCAAATGCAACTGTCCGGGAATAGAACGATGCAGTACAGGGGATTACTCCGTCAAATACGGGACACAGATCGCAGTGACATGGCAACCAACGTGACTCCCAAACAAGCGGTGCAACAACAACGTTTAACCGCAATATGACTTACCAGAGTGAGGTAATCCTGCTGCAAGATACCGGCCAATCGGTGTGCAGTGAGTCAGTATATTTGAACCTGGGATGGACTGAGACAGCGTATGGATGGCAATGCAATATCTATTAGGTGTCTATCAACTGAAACCGGACAGTTCAAATGCTCGCTGCGAACCACTAAGACCAGTCACCAGGACCCAACTCAAATGGTCTGCCTGCCCTCATGTCATCCATGATCTTCTCGATATTCCACGGCTGGTACCTGTAGCCGGGTGGATAGTTGGGAGGTAGGCGGTCATCGTCTTCCAGAGAGATTCCCATCTTCACGGATTCCACCGCTTTGTGGTAGTTGTCGTATGCATACTCTTCCGGGTTGTGGCTATAGATCCACTTGGGCAGACTTGGATTGGCCCGGCGCGGATCCATCTTGACCTTGTCCCATTTCGTATCTTGGAGCAGCTCGGCATTGGAAAAGCCCAGCTTTTGAGCACATGCGTTGCGAACAAATCTAGATGCCATCAGCTTTGTGTCGTCAGGGGGTCTAGGCACAGCTCACCGCATCCTGATGTGAGCGCGAACAGACTCTGCAATATTCTCTTTGCCTCCTATTTGCAGACACGTAGCCAGAGATACCGCGTCCTCAATGGCCTGGGTGGCACCATTACTGGATGCAGGCAGGTATGAATGGGCGCTGTCACCAATCTGCACAACGCGCGAAAGAGGTGAGGTCCAGCTCGGTTGGGGATTTCTCCAGAGAAGTTCAAAGTTCAGGATCGTCTTGGGCGGCGTGCATTTGACAAGCTCCTTGAAAATTGGTGCCCACTTGTTAGGTCCTGGAACTTGGTCTAGACCTTCCAGCACTTCGTCGGCTTCGATGGTGTTATTCCACGACTCTGACTCGCTTCCCGTCGCCTGTGTCTCCATTAGCGAACGATCGCATGGACTGGTGTTGGAAACTCACATCGTGGTTCACAATCCAGACCATCAAGTCCGGACGGGTCAAGGTTAGTGCATAAGTTGAAGGTCTATTCCACGGTCAGCCTCTGCCCTTCTGAATCTCTAGATCACACTGACCCAAGCCAAGTTCGCACAATGGGATCTTTGCCCCCATTGGCCAAACCAAAGAATGCTTTCACCTCGGGATTCTTGTCGAGTTCCGTTCTTGGGAAAGCCGCCCGCCACATAGCTCTGCCCGACTTCTGGGCGCGGACTTGACCTCCAACGAGTTTTTGCGATTTAGATCCAACGCCGTCGGCAGCGATGACAATGTCGGCTTCGAAGCGCCTGCCGTCCTCCGTAGTGACACCTCCCTTCCCGGTCTTTTCATTTTCAAAGTAGTCGATGACCCGGGCACCAAACTCAATGTTGACGCCGAGCCTCTCGACTTGTCGTACAAACATTCTGTAGACAAGCGGTCGCATTTGAAAGGTGCCCGGAGGGGTGTTGGGATCGAGACCGGCCGCCTTCAATCTCACTGCTACCTTCAGAGGCTTGATCATCTGCTCTCCGTCGTGCTTGAATGTCTCAATCCATGCATTGTGCAGAGAGATCTCGTCATATTCCTGGGCCAGCTCCGGCCAGTGTTTCATGAACCTGGTAGCGCTGAGTCCCATGAAGTACATATCACCTTCGAGAACGTGTCAGCCGCATGAGTTTTGGCGGGGTGGTAAGATGGGAACTAACCCGCTGTGTTGATGCTGGCATTCCTCTCCAGGACTTGGACACTATGGCCTTTGCGAGTGCATTCTATCGCGGCCGTCAGGCCGGCGAGACCAGTACCGACGATCAGGACATTGATGCCGCTGCTTGGATATGATCCAAGAGGCTTTGAGTCTGTTGACAATGGCAGTGATCCCATCTTGCTGGGGTCTGTTATCGCTGGACCCTGTTCTGTAACGGGGATGGGATACTTGGACAGATGGAGTTTGCGACTTGCAGCCAAGCAATTACTTCCGATAGTCGTAAAAGCTAAGAATGGGGCGGATTCAAGTGGTCCACAGGACCCAACATTCCTTTATACGACCTTCAGCAAGGTAATAATATACAAGTAGCGTCAGCCACAAAGCCAGCATGATACCAGAGCATGGGTGCCACTAGTGGACGGAGGCCATGTCGATTGGAAGTCTAAACATCACCACACACCGATTCGGGTAAGCCATAAGCGGAGCTCCGCCGCGCCAAATTTAGGTGCAGATTTGCCCTTATTTCCGCTTTCTCGGCTAGCCGTTGCGGCGGCGGAACATCTGCTCTGGTGCACCATCTCGCCTACAGGATGAGGATAACGGCCGGTCGGTGTGTTGGTACTCCGTCCTGAACTCAGACCTCCAAATCATAGTTGTCTGTGTCTCTGATGGGCAAAATGGTATCTGCTCGGATGCCCTGAGAAGATAATTCCTATCCGCTGGGGAATCCGAGGGGGTACAGAATATATTTGCCTTGCAATACTGGCAGGCATTGCGTTGCTGCACCCCTGGCAAGGGTTATTACCATGGTACTATGTAGGAGGGGGGAGGTGGGAGTGTTTGCCACATGGCTGGAACTGTACTACGTACTAGTATGAAGCAATTCTCCGTTGACTACTACCGCATAGGACTAGTGGTACGGAGTACAGATCATGCCAAGAAGCTTGGCAAAGCTTGCGTCGAATATGGTATCAACGATATACTCATAGTAGTAGTAGTTGTGTTGTTGTTGTAGTAGCACTAGGTAGTAAGTGACTTTCTCTATCATCATGTATTACTGTCAGCCTCGCCTCTTCTTGGCCCCCTTTCCGTCACATTGTCCGATGCTGTATCCATCCGAGCTCTAGGTGTCAACCTCCGACCGTATTGGCTGATGACAGATACACCCAACTTCCTGCGCTATGTGATGATCATTGAACCCATGAGAAGAAGCCTGCCGCAATGTGGCGTTTATGGTCAGCCTTCGGAATTCTGGGCAGAGATTCCATGTGTCCTGGCTCCTTTTCAGGCCTTGCTCTAATTCTGGGCTCGTGTTTGGAGGCCGGATGAAGCAGTAAAACGGGGTCTCTTCCTCTTGGTAAACCATCTCCTTCAAGGTAGTAGAGTATATTTCATTAGTCTCCTGCTCCCTCTCCCACGTTTTGATCGAGCCTGATACCCTTTTCTCCCGGCGTCGATCTTCAACATACCTTTTTCACAGCCATGCATTGGATTACCTATGTCGCCGCGGCCGTATTCCTGACAGGCTGGGCAGCGTATTCATTCTACGCAGCCCGTCGAGTCGCAAAGGACAGGCAACCTCCACGCAAATATCTGCCCGGCCCCAAGAACTACCCTTTCATCGGCCGTGTCCATGACTTACCAATCAAATTTATGTGGCTCAAGTTCAAGGAATGGGCAGATATATACGGAGGAATCTACTATACGTCTATGTTCGGTTCGGAATTCATCATTGTGTCTGATGAGGGAATCGCAGAAGAGTTGTTGGTCAAGAAAGCCAAGTACAATTCAGACAGACCAATGATGCGCTCGGTGACCGACTCGAAAAGTTCAGAAGGAGGCATGGAATACCTCCCGCTCATGGGCAAGAATCGTAAGGTGACGAGATGCATGGTGACTGTACCTGCTAACCACATTGTCTAGAGTACTGGGCTCGTCAGCGTCGCTTCGTTCACTCATATCTTATGGAAGCCAGCAACGCTCACTACCGCGGGATCATGGATCATGAAGTGAAACGATGGCTTTACCGTCTGGCTGTGGAGCCTGACAGTTTCATGTTCTCCCTGGAGGATATGGCATCGAAAGTCATGTGTACACTCACGTGGGATGACCCAACTGTGAGCGAGTACTACACCAAAAGTGCGTGGGCATTACTCACCCAGATGTCACCTGCTGGCCCCATCACCAATCTTATTACCCCTTTGTGGCACCTGCCTTTGGCGATCAATCCATGGAAGAAGGCAGAAAAAATCCGGCATGATGAGCAGAGTGGTTGGTGGATGGCCAAGTATCTGCACACCAGAAAACTGCATGAAGCTGGCCTAGCTCGCCCGTCCTGGACTCGGCAATACCTCGAGATCGAGAAGAGACCGCCTCTTTCCGGCGACAAAGAGGCATCAGCGGCTCTTGGGATGATAGCACTGGTGGGGATTTTTACTGTCGCAGGGCCACTCAACTACTTTCTGGTCTCCATGGTGCATCATCCAGAATGGCAGGCCAAATGTCAGAAGGAGATTGACGAGGCCTGCAACGGCAAAATGCCTACGCTTCCTGACTCGCCCAAGTTACCCATTCTCCGTGCTTGCATCAAAGAAACCATGCGGTGGAGACCGAATGTGCCAACTGGTAGGAGCCGTTGCCAGCTGTCTCATAACAGGGCTGACACCAAACTAGGCGTCGCGCACGAAACCGAACAAGACGACTATTGGCGTGGTCATTTCATCCCCAAGGGTGCACGCATTCTTCCTCTTGATTGGTTAGTCATCATGCTCCCGCATGGTATGACATGTAGCTGACATTTAAAACTGCAGGGCCTTCCTTCGTAACCCAGTCAAATATCCCGACCCAGAGAATTTCCGTCCCGAACGCTGGCTCGAGCCAGGCTGGCCCACATACCAGTCTCCTCTCACAGTCTATCCCATGGTCAAGGGTATGTCGTCATTCGGCTACGGTCAACGAGCATGCCTCGGCCAAACCCTCACGCAAGATGAACTTCTGGTCGCATGTGGCGGGCTTATGTGGGCCTTTGATTTGAAGAAGAAGGTCGATCCAGCAACAGGACGCGAGATTGACGTCCCTACCACCGCTTCAAACTCGCTCCTCATCATCAAGCCTGACCCGTTTCAAATGGCATTCCATCCAAGAACTGAAGCTAGGAGAGCAGAGATTCTTCAAAATTGGAAAGAGGCGGACGAGAGGGATATGCTGGAGAGAAGAGCATTTGCAAAGGCTGCCGTTTTGGAGCATCCCAGTCTGATTTAGGTGCTCTGGATACAAGGACAAAGATTGTGATTGTCTGTTTCTAGCATACGTTTTTCCTTCTAGATAACCGGGTTGAGGTGTTGGACAGCGTTGACTTTGCCTTTAGAGACCGATTATTTGGTAGTTGCAAGATTGATCATCATTCGTTTACTACATACACTTTGATATTGTACTTCTGACTCGAGTGACTTTGATCTGCCCGAAATATGGTCTGGATAAGGTTCAGTGTATCCCACAATCAACATGATAGGTCACAACACTGTATCAGAGTCTCTCTCTCTCCATTGCAACTCAAGTATGGCCAATATTGGAAACTGGACCGACCTAGCCGGGTCTCTTACCAGGGGACCACTCTACGGACCCATCTCTATTCGCTCAACAGTGCACAAGCGTATTCTGAACTCCGACGCCACCATCCAATTGCGTCCCATCAACAAAACAACACCTGACACATCCTTCCGCTGCCCAGTGGTACAAAAATTCCGTGACTATGCCCCATTTCTCTGCACTAACGCCCCCTGTACATCTAATGTCCTCTCGGCGAATTTCATCATCTACCAAGACTAAGTATCCCCATCACTTCCGGAGCCATGCGACCGGCTGCCTTAGTCTCCGGATTCGTTAACGAAACGCTACACGATCTCTTCCTCCCGGCTGCTCTAACCGAGGACCCAAATCTCCTACTGCATATATAGATATTGTCCGGTGCTACGGAGTCTGCGAGTGGTTTTTGGGAGGAAGGATATTGTGCAGGCGGAGGATCTGGGCTGACAGTTGGCTTCCAACCCCGCAGGCAGAGGCGATGCTCGTCCGATGTTGCGCTTGATGCCCGTGAGATGATGATGATGGTTTCCTGGAGAGTTGGACAGATGCAGATGCGATCTCGTGTGACAGTGCGACGGGCGCGCCTTGATGGATCGTTCTGCTTCTGCTTCTGCGGTTGTGTGCGTATTGGGTAAGGGGTTAAGGGATTTTCATCGGACGTTCTCGTTGCGTGCATGCACCTGTTTGACAGAGTTTGGCTCATTCGTCCGTCCGTTATTTCTAATCAAAGAATATCTCATTTTCAATTTGGTTTTCTGTATTTCCTTTTGCTGCAATCTTGCCAGACCTCAGCCAGGTGTCATCTCATCTCATCTACTATCCATCTCACACACCTTTTCGTTGACTTGAATCCTGCTACCCTGTCTCCATCCCACAATGGAGAACCAACCAGGCAAAATGCTCTGCCTCACCATCTACAGCTACAAAAAGGCCGGACTGAGCGACGAAGAGTACCGCTCCTACATGCTGAAAACCCATGCCCCGCTCGCAAGCACCCTGATGGAGAAATATGGCATTGTCGGCTTTACTATGGTATATAGCACTTTCGAAGCTATCCCCCTCCCTCAAATCCCCCATGCAGCTGACAAGAGGATGTTTTCCGCACGAAAGACACACATGAACTCGACGACGCGCCCGCTCCTAGCCTCCATCACCGGCCCGCATTTCACCAACACGGCCGACTACGACGTTGTGTCGCAGATGAAGTTCCCGGACGTGGAATGCTTCACTAAGATGCTGGCCGATCCTTTCTACCGCGAGAACGTTATGCCGGATGATGTGAATTTCGCCGACATGAGCCGGACAAAGTATGTACTTTTTTGATTTTTCTTACGAGTCGGCTTCATGTGTATATGCTGTCTTATGTGTCGGAGCTGCGTGGTCGCTGACGGTGGGCGTTTTGGTAGGATGTCCCTTGGATGGATTGAAGAAGTGGTTAAGGATGGGAAGGTTGTCTTGCAGAACACGCAGACCGAGAAGAGCGAGGTGGATGCGCTGGGAGGTGTCAATTCCGGCAAGGGTGAGCTGGTGGAAATCGAGGCCCAGGATTCCATCGGTCCGCCGCCAACGACGCTGAGTGACAATGCGATTGCAGTTTGAGGTCAAGGGTCTTGCCCCCATCATTAGCCCGCACACACTTATACAGGATAAGGTGCTCTCTTTCAGTTCGATGTGGCGGTATCTTGTACTTCGCTCTACCATTTCATTCTCCTTTTAGGTCCTAGATATAGACGCAACCCTCAGGTACCTCGCAATTTTCCATTTTCCGCGGCGAAGACCTGAATAATGGATACGGGGATACAGACACGGCCACGGACAGGGCACGGCTACAGGCCAAAGCCACACTCGAGGTTACCACTTCAGATGCCATTTTTCTTCAACAACCCATCACTGTAGTCCATATTTCGATTTCCTGTCACTCACCCACTCAGTGCCAACCAACCACCCCATCAAAAGTCCGAGGAATACACGAGAGATACATCCTTATCTCCAAGATGGTTCCTTTGGCGGGGCTGGTCAGAGAGATCGATCGAGAGAGCAACGGAGTCACGTCAGGAATTCTCCCCATTCCTATTTTTCCTCGCTCGCTCCCTTTCTCTCAGTCTCAGAAGCCGCTCTCGGCTCCCTCTCCATACTCTGTAATCTAGACTACCAACAACGACACCTGCATAATCAGTCTACAGTTCGAAAAACGCCTCAATTTCCGCCCGTAGAAGGTTTTCTTTCTTTCTTTCTGTCTTTCTTTCTGTCTTTCTTTCTGTCTTTCTTTCTGTCCGAGATTCTGGCAAGGCGGAATGGCGTCTGGAAAGACTTGAGATGAGTCTGGGGAAAGCGGGCGGTTACGCTTTACGTGCTCCACGGTCTGTTACGTTATTTTGTGTCTTACTTGTTACTATAAGATGTATATTGGGAGATAGCGGTAGCGGTAGCGATATCGAGGGCGCATCCATCTTGTTGACTCTTGCTGGCGTGAGGACTGGAGACAGAACAGCTGGTTAGGTCTATCTATCTAGCTTTGACCTTGTTATGATCATATGTTGTCTATACTGTGAGATAGAGGTAGAGGTGGAGATAGCAGTATTTGGAACTTGCTGAGTGGCAGGCAGGCTGGCTTGATGGGAGGGTTCGGCTTGCGCGGGGCTTTGGTTGCTTGGTCTGAATCATCGGTACCTGGTTAGTGGGTTGGATGCCGGGTATGTGTAGATGGAGTGAAGGAGTGATGGAGATGGAGATGGACGAGGCGGAGAGGGCTGAACAGGACGGAGGGAGGTCGCCGAGCGACAAGCGATATGGATGATGTGGCCTGAGCGTTATGCATAGACAGAGACATGTCATGACGCGAGCTGGCTGAGCTGCCCACTTACGAAGACGACGACGATCTTTGAAGTCTTGATAAGTAAGCCTATCGTGACGGCGACTGTAAACAACTCTTGAGACTTCTGCGACCGCATTCAGATATCCATTGAATTGGACAGGAGACTACATCCCCATGGCGTGTTGAAAAGAAAGGTAAGAGTCGGAAGAAGAGACGATTGAAAGACAATAATGCGACGTAGTATGATGGCGTTGAACCAATTGATCCAACATAGGTTACCATCAACTGAGTGAACATCTGATACGAGCATCTGGAAATAATGCTTACCCAAATGCCCCCAGCAACCTATCTGCCTACCTACCCTACAAATGGCCTCCTGGTATGGCCTATAATTCATGAAGTGGCTTGTCAGATCGAGGTTGAATGCTCAGACATCACAGGAGACAACGATTTGGGCATTAAAACAACCATCCGGATGCTGCTGGTTTTGAGTTGCTTTTGTAAGGTTCTGGGATTGTCTGATATGTCGAACGCAAATGGTCCATGTTCACTCGTATTGACAGGCCAGTACTCCGTACGGAAGCGGTAATGAGGTGTCACAAACTGGAGACATCGCCAAAGGGCCATTTGGCTCCGCCCTCTGGCTTGGTTAAGGCATGGCAAGTGGTACTGATTGCCGGGCATTGGATCTCGTTTATAGTCCAGCCCATGGCATGAGGTAATGAGGTACTCGAGCTAGACAAAATCTATTAAAGTAATGCAGGGAGTTCACAGAGCTTCGAACAACAACGCAGATAAAAGCTCCGGAACTTGAATGATAGTGAAATATTCCCATAGCGACTACCTGCCTAGCAGGAACCCGAAAGATCGAACCTCAATGATGCCAAGGGAGAAAGCGTGGGATAAATCCTTGCTTGTAGCTGTAGCAATAACACACACCAATACTTGCATACCCGGCGCCAAGCTAGCAATGCATTTTGCCAAGAGACCCACCACATTGTCGAAATGATAAAAGGATTCATGTTCATTTCCCATGTCGATTGTGAATCGTCAGGTCGTATCTCCGGTCTAACTTCCGTCATTGGCCTCATAGTAATGAGATCTGGGGGAAAGTACCTTCATCCTGTTGCCAATCAGCCCAGCCCAGTCCACCAACTTTATGTCGACACCCACAAAGTAAGAAGATATACATATCCCGGCTCCTCGATCTTATCATCATTTCAAAATAGACACGAGCGCGCATCTTCCATTCCCATCCCCATCTCTTCCTCGAACATTCATTCATTTCTCTCCTCCACTATCCCCCCTCATCCTCGCAGCACCCCTCTCCCTCCCTTCATGCATGTACTTGAGTGATTTCCGGTACTGTCGATCCTGGGCATCGAAACCCATCAACGTGAGCCAGAGGGCCACGGCGCCGCCACCCGTTAGGGCTAGGGTCCAGGTGGTGCGAGGGTTCATTATCGCAATGTACAGGGAGACGGGAGTGCGGAATGAGTGGTTTGCTGGCGTAGGCGTGGTTCTCGAAGGGTGCAATAGGAGAGGAGAGAAGAGGATTGCTTGCGTCTGTGGTTGTGGGGTGATGGAAGCTGTTTGTTTCGGATTCTGTGGGGTTTGTGGGGTAGTATGGGGCTAACTTATGGTTATAAATAGTACGTAGTACTCCCCAGTGTCTACTACTATAACTAGTTAGCAGCCCTTCGGCCCTAGCCAGGGACTTCCGCGGCTCCAAGTACAAGCCTTGGCCTTGGCTTTTCGCATCTGCTGGAGTTTCGTTTCAAGTGGTGGGCACAGGTGAGAATCATAGGCTAGGTTGACGCAGAGGCTGTAGAGCAGAAGAAGAACATGCATAGCTGGAGAGATCCTTAGGATGTCAGAACATCTTGAAGGTGAGTGATAATTCCCCGATCATTACGGTCACGGATCAGGGGGCATTCAATGAAGAGATGCAGGCTTTTGGTAGGCGTCGGTTTATATTGTATTATTTTGGACCACCTCTTCCTCTAATATACCTGCGATAGCGTCAAAGAATCGGCAAGAGGGTGTCATCGAATACAGGTGTTCGACAATGTTTTCGCAACTCCGTCAAAATCAGCTTCCACAAGCTCCGCTGTTACCTGGAGTGAATTGGTTAGCATACGGCGAGACATCCTCCCGATAAGCTTCAACTTTGTTGCCGGCTTTGCTGCGGTGTGGATCCTGTGTAGCCTATCCTTGTGTCCAGTAATAGCGGCTTCACTGTGTCGAAGTGCTGCAACTCTGCTTGTGCGTGGAATGTAATGTGTAGTCCCTCGGCTGGAATACTTACCAGTGCCGTATTTAGCTCGGAAAGCTCTGATGTTGATTCATGTGCAAGGTGTAGTCGTCTTGCTGAAAGATTGTTAATACCAAGGAATATGTGGTCGAGTTCGGGCTGCTGGATTTTTGGTCCTCTACTTGTCGTTTTAATACCTGGCAATAGAGCAAGTCCGTAAGCAAGTCCTAGACTTCCGGTCTGAGTGTGGTGTCGCATGTAGTTATTCTGTCTGAATGCTTAACGTGATCCTTGGGAGTGTGGAAGAGATCGGACTAGTCAGCAAAATCCGGCCTGCACTCTGTTCATCTGCGGTTGGCACCGCAAAATCAGCCTTAAGATGAACTTGGGGCAGATCTTACGGATCATGATAGGATAATTTCTGGTCCCAGTTCCGGCTCACCAGGAGCGTGGCCTCGACAGCAGTGATGTTCGGCAATCCGGAACCTAAACAGCATACACTTCAAAGAGGCGGTGATCGAGGTAAAACGGTGAGATCTGGATTCATTGCGTACCGAGACGTAAGCGCAGAGTGGGCTCCTTCTTAGCACGCATATACTCTGTAGAAATACCTTAGAGTCCAGCTCTACGGTTTTTGAACCTGAATCTGGGGTTTCTGAATTGGTTAGTAGTGCGGCTGGCCCATGATAGTTGAGTATCCACGCCTACTCTTTTTTGAGTTTCTGCTTGGGAAGCAATTTGCCAGAGTTGTTCCGATAGAGCCCGTTGCATCGTTTGTAGTATCTGCAGGTTTGAATTAGTGTCTCTGGTAGGTAGAGTAGGTGGAGGTAGAAGGAGTAAGAAAAACTCAGAACTAACGCATCAGTTTCAGTAGCATCTCGTGATCGGCCAGCTTGATAGAAGACTGCCTCGTTTATGTCTGGAACACAAGTGCCGTCGGGCAATTCTTCACCGACGTGAGCGGTTTTATAATCTATATTGTTCTGAGTTTCTGTAGAGTTATCAAATTCTCTGTCTCTTCAGCAAACAGGAGTGATGAAAAGCTTGCGTTGTATGTGATTTATATATTGCCTCCTGGCGGTTGGATCTCCCGTTCGAGCATCGACCTCCAATTGCGGCCATTCTGAGCATCTAATTATTTCGTCTGATGGGGGTAGCTTGCCGGAGTCGTCGACACAGAGCTTATATCGCAGTATCTTACACATGACAGTAGCAATGGTGGCAGAAGATGAAGTACAGAATGAGAAGTTGAAAGTCAGATTTTGAAAATGGGGATTGAACCATTATATAGAATTCTGAAATCGAAGATCAGGACAAGAGAAAATGTGAGGGCTGATGCTGCGGAACCAGAAACACAGTCCCGACGCTGGTGAAAACCATATGAAGAGATACTACCAGAGTACTGTGCTGTCATAGGCGATACAGTTTGTGGTTTTCTATTGCAAAGAGACAGCAAGTTCAGTTTCATGCTTTCGGAACCGCTCGATATGGAACTTGCCATTGTTTCTCGATGAGCTTCAGAGAAGAAAC